CTTGAAAACATCTTCAAAGAATATCACAATTGATAGAATATGGAATATCATGCATATGAACAAAAACAACAAACGAACTAACGAATAAAAAGCCAAAAAAAGCCAACCTTAGCTTATTTGTGGGATTACAATATTTAAAGTTGTTATCCAATGCTCTCTAGTTGTTCTAATGTACTATAGCTTTTAAACTCGTTAGTAAAATTATTCTTTCACCGTTAAGAAAGAATATTACTAATGTATATAATTCATAATTAAGAAATTTCCAATCTTGTAAAAACCAAAAATCGAATGCAAAGAAAGAGATGGGTAAAAAGATGCTTACGTTGCCACATGTTGGTTGTGGTATCTTGATGTGATCATATGTGAAGATCAACTTCAGAACATTCTCTTCTATCGCAGTTGTACCACAAATGCAATTTCTTGCAACTTAATGAATCAGAAACACAACTTACGTTAGATTCAKGAAGAAGAGCAACATKTACATWAATTTCGTGGGTGAAATTTATTGTTTCAAGTCTCAGAAACCAAAAAAACTTGTCAATGCTTCCATCTAATCATCAGCAACATTAAAAAATAATAGAGACCAACAATTTTCAATAATGGGGAGTCAAAAAAGATAAAATAAAAAAGTAGCAAAAACGTAAGAACTAAGAGATGAAATCTCTTTGAYTCGATGTGTCCTTGAGRAAATAAAAGACTCGGTCATCTTGTCTAARGAATGTCACAAACGGACTATCTCAATTTACCATAATTCTATGTAAAGAGAAGATTCATGTGATCGACCATTGAGAAGAAGAAAATGTAAGAAATCATGAAATATAATTAGACCAACTCAGTTTGTGATCATAACTAAGCTAAGAAAGAAAATTCATAAACCGAGACTTACCAGCACGTTGGACAACAAGAACAAAACGAAACTGAGTTCACCATGAATGATATAAACAAAATATCGCTAATAACATCATGCATCGTCAGAATCATATACAAAAAGGAACTAATTAATAAACATAGATGCTTTTAATGACCTTTAAATAGTTTTTGCTTTTGATCTTCTATTTTYCTTTGTTTKAAGGTTTTTTTCTTCGCAACCTAAAATAATAGAAAACACATCACAAAGTTAGGTTAAAAGTGGTAGCAATATGGTAGATTGATAATTGTGACTGRTYYTTTGATATCAGATTTATAATGTTTCCATTAGGAARTAGTAGGAAGGARCCCATCACAATTTGACTCWAAACTATCATATATAGAAACTACGGCATGTGTGTAGTGTTATTATATTTGATATATTATGAAAGTCTTTRGCTTTTCTTAATCTGGACTTCGAAAGCTATTTATGGTAAACAAATTGAAACGTAGCTTGCAAATAGTTTACGCAGTGCATAAAGGTGAATTAGAATTTTGGTTTTTCAGATCTTCCACCTGATGAAGAGCCTCAATATTAACTCTCAACTTCCAATCAATTCAATCAC